GATGAACGGGCCTGGCTTGTCTTTCAGGTTATCGCGCGTGGCGTGGAGCACCTGAGGCGGGGAGATCGTATGTGTGGCGGCGGCGGTACATAGCAAAGGCAAGGGAACACACGACCAGCATTGAAGAAAATGTTTCTTTTGTCGAGGGGCGTTTGAGTCCGCTGGGAAGAGGATCTTGTCGCTCGGAGAGCAACCTTCGGATTTTTGTATCTATGTCCAATCACGACGGCGCAAATGGATTTCGCGGTGGGCTAGGGTGAAAGAATAATGAGTTTCCATGCTCAGTCGATCCGCAGGTTATCCATTCGTGAACGGCAAGCAATTACATTGCATTCATGGTTTTGTTCCCGTCTATTCGAGCACCTCTTCCAGTCCGACATCTACTTGGGATTCTCCAGCCGCTGCCGCACCTTGCTGAGCGTTACATGTGGTTGGCTCCCCGGCCGCAGCGGTTTTGGGGGCGATAGTGGGTTCCAGACTATCGAAGCCGATCGTGAGGGTGGTCTGACCACAACGTCAGGGTCAGTGTCGAAATAGATGTCGTTCGGCAGCGGAACGACGTCCTCTCGTCGTGGACGGTGACTCCGCCGCGGCATGGGGCATTCCTTGCGGCGGTGGCCCTGATGACGAGGTGGGTTCGAGGTTCTCAAAATAATGAGAGATGAGAGATGTACACACCTCCTCACCACAATTGTGGCAGATGACGGGCGGCTCGTAAAACTGGATCGTAGGGCAGTCACGACGCATGTGACCCTGAAAACATGGGGTCAGATTGTGATACAGTAAGAAGAAGAAAGAGCATAGATATGAATGTGTACCTCCTGCCCGCACTCGTGGCACTTATCGGGCGCCTTACAGTCCTTGAGGACGTGACCCGTCTCGAGGCAGCGGAAACACTTTTTCGGGGCGAGCCTCATCGCCTTGAGCCGCTGGCGGTCGGGATGCGGGCATTGGCTGCGCCGGTGGCCGTGGTCGCCGCACGCGACGCAGACTACCGGCTCCGGGCAGTCCCAGAACATGTGCCCTTTACGGCGGCCTGCGGAGCGTTAATAGGGCCTGCGAATGAGAGGCAGAGACGCACAGTTCTTGCTGCAAAGGGAAGATGTCGCTCGGTATGGGTTCGAGAGGAAGAGCTGCGAGCGAACGCACCAAACAGCATATATTAAGGGCCTTACCTTTTTCGCGGGCTTGGTATCCACCGCAGGGGCTTCATCCGAGAAAAACCTGGCGGATGTTCGAAGACCTATGCCTGTTACCGCCAGTTCCCGGGAGTGACATGCTGACTGAGAAGTCGTTTTTGCTGGACCGAGGAGCGAGGACGACCGCGAGAAGGGGAGCTGCAGATGTACACGGAAACTGGGGCGTAGCGCTGGTGCAGCGCGGCCGAGCATTGTCGCCTCAGCTGGCTCAAGTGGTTGGAGGGACTGAGGATGAAAAGACGAAGACACGTCACGTCACATTTGATCCTCAGGGTCACGGGAACGCGACGCGATCACGTGCCATAGTGACCTACGCGCACTCAAATTAGTCCTACCGATAGTACCGTGTTTATCATCCTGGCGGACGCGTAGGCCATTTTTCTTTAGGCAATAGAGCCCTTTTGTTGGCATTTCACATTCTGCATCACCATTCTCGCTTAGCGTCTCAATCATACTTTGCATCAGTTGCTAGACTATTTGGAAGGAGACAATGATGTACATGTGTCCCCGCCGTATTTCTTCTTCCCCGTTCTGAGGCGGCTTCGCGGTCTGTTTCGGTTTTCCGTTGAAGTCTTTCGGAAATATTAATTCACGACCCACGACATAATGTACCACTTCCCGTATGCTCGTCTTCGGAATTCCTACCACGAGCACTAATCCGGGACAGAATCAAATCAGAAACCAATATATTGGATCCCAATTACCGTCTTCTCAAGTCCGTCTTGGCTATGCTGAATGAAAGAACAGCCAGAGTTCGTTTCATGACAGTCTCTGATAATAGAGCAAGAAATCTAACAAATGAGCAAGCTCGCGCAGTCGAACTCGATACAGAAGTGGACCTAATGTTTGAAAATCCAGGGATTCTGCTAAGTCAAGGTTCACAGCGGTACTTCACGAAGGTCATACGTAAATTGAGAGCAACGACCCAACGAAAATCCACATTTATGAATCTCGACCGAATACGATGCTCGGTTGAAGAGATCTCAAACTACACCCCAACTGATGCATCCATCTGGAAGTCAATAAGGTCGACAACTTTCCAACGCCTGACACGAGAATTCTTCTGGAAGTGTATTCATAACACTTTCAGAGTGGGAGACTTTTGGACCCACATAAACAATGCAGAAATATGTGGCGAGTGCCGTTTCTGCAATGTCCCTGAAACCTTAGAACACATCGCTCTCGAGTGTATGGCCCCAGGTCAAGCAATAATTTGGAACTTGACACAAGAACTCTGGTCAAAAAAGTACAAACACTGGCCAAAACTAAGCTGGGGGCTGATTCTCGGTTGTAACCTTGTGAGATTCAAGTCCATTAAGGGTGCACCCCTCCCAGAGAAGTCGAGACTTTTTGCCATTTTAGTGTCGGTAGCGTGGCATTCAATTTGGAACGTAAGACATACACGAGTGATTGAAAATCCGGATTCACTACCAACAGAGACACAGATCAACAATCGCTGGTTGAATGCGGTGAATGCTATATTAGAACGGGACCGGTTATTAACGAACAAGCCGAGATTCGGTCCCCTCGCATTCAATACCCAACTAGTTCTGAGAACATGGAGTGGGCTATTGATGAACGAAGACTCACTGCCGGACAACTGGACTCACGAGGGGGTTTTAGTGGGTATGCGACCCAACAGAAATGGGATAGGATAAGATATTCGGGTCGGAGTCCCACACTGGTTAAATAACGTGCGTAACAGCATTTCCTCCCTGGACAACTTCCCCGGCAGAAACTGGCCCACAACCAGTAACCCAAGCGTGTGACCTTAGAATGCTTCTGCAGACTGAGTGTCATTATCCCAAACGCTCCAAAAAAAAAAAAAAAAAAAAATTCACGACCCAATCACGACCCGCGGATTCTAATTCAGGCACGCTACGGTCTACTAAAGCAACAGGTGGCCAATTCGAAACGCGTTTAAATGTGGAGTTCAGCTAAGTATGAAACACGATATTTGATCGCGTAGGTAGGTGTCATAGTATGATTCACGATGATACATGTATCAAAGCAAACGGGGAGAGCACCACATTTTCAACCGAGTGCTATGGCCACAGTAGTGCGATCACTGCAATTCAAATGTCAAAAGAGCGCTGATCGGAGTTGCAGGTGGGTGCAGAAGCGGAACATATATTCTTGCTGTCGTTCAAGCTTGTCCTCTAGCTCACTACCACCAACCACCACTTTACCACCATGGCCGTTCCTGCAGGTGCGTCCGTTCCCTTTCGACTGATTTGGAGGTAATCCTGATAGAGCGCAGACCTCACCACTTTGAACCTCTCCGGCAAGTTCACCATGGTTCGTACTCTACCCCTATCGCCTTCTTGATTCCTCCTCTAATGCAATGGATGGCCCGACAGAACAAAACTCTGAGCGGCGACACGGACAAGGTCCTTACGCTGCAGGATGTGGGCTTTCTGAAGCGCAAGGTCATCGCCGCTGCGACCGTCACGCTCGACATCAAGCACTACAAGGATGATGCCGGTGTTGAGAAGATCGACATTGACCAGGTACTTGATATACTTATCCGCATCCTGCTTCAGCCGCTGATATGGCGTTGAAGACGCTGACTGGGGGGTTCCCCGTACCCAAAGAAGAGAGGACGTTGTCGTGGACGGAGCGCAGCGACAAAGACGATTTGTTCGGGCATGTGATTGGCAAGACCAGGTGTGTCTGCCTTCTCGTCCGCAGCCCATCGCGCGTTGCTTATCCTTTTCAGGCGTTGCCAGGTTGCGGAGCTCGACGAAGAGTTCTTGAAAAAGAACTGGACCCCTGATACGCTCGAGCACGGCGTGGTCCAGGTCCGTCTCATTCCGTTCTCGGTTATCTAGCGTCTTGAACTTACATTGTTTTATCAGTTCCTCGTGAAGAGTGACACCCCCAAATCCGGGACGACGTGGATCGTGAACCAGGTTCGCCCTCCCCCTCTTCCCTATCGTGGACTGCTGATCAATCATGCGTCGCCTTCCAGGCCTGGGGCATCCAAGAGATCAACGGCGAAAGGCGGTACGCCAGGAACATGAAGTTCACCGGTCCCAATGGAGAGGATATCGAGGTTCTTCTCGTGTATGATTACCGTGCGTTTTTGTTTTTGAATGGGTCCTGCGGTTCGGTTCGCTGATCATTTCGCAGGGGGACCTGTGAAAGCGTAATGTAATTTGTATGGAAGATGTATTCACGATCAATCGCACAATCCAATGAACTCGTTATGTATCGTTGTCGGCTTGTACCCAGTCTGTTGTTGCTTCACTGTCCCGAGTGAGTTCAGTCCCAATTCTCTGCGGCATCGTTATTTTCAGGCGCCGGGAATTGCATTCGTGTTCGCCGTTGTAGGACAGGATCACCCACCTCTGCAAAACATCCCACCTTTGCAAAAGAAAGTTTAATCATTTTCCGACATGAATATCGCCTCAATAGATTCAAACTAAGTTGGAGTAGCACGGTCATGCTTCCTGTGAAACTGTTGGTTTTTCGAAGCAAACGGTCAAGAATTGAGTACATACGCCGTAAGCCAATACTTTATTTTGCAAACGTGGGTGTTTTTGATCGCTGGCCTCGGCAGCCTCCCTGCAGCCTCAATTCGACCCCGAACCCTTAGGAAATCTAGATTCGGCATATGCGGGCGTCCATGATATCGGCTGTCGATGCCGAGCGTTATCGGCCCAGAAATGAGGCCGTAGAATCGACGTCAAAGTGGCTTTTGGTGATCCCGTACGCGGACTGGCTGGTGCTTTAAATTTGTCTGTCTATTTTCTGTCGTCCGAATCCCATGTCCACCGGCAACTGACACGTTATCTCATGGGCTCAGTAGTGTAACGGTTGCACGCCTTCTTTTCAATGCGCCAAACAAAGATCTCTGCTAGAGGAAGTCCTGGTTCGAATCCGGGCTGAGCCATGCCTGGTGTATCTCACTTTTTGCGGTAGTATCATAGAAATCAGTTGGCACCGGGAAAGGACTATCGGAAATTCGAAGTGAAATTTTGTTGAAGCTGACCGGTACATGGTGCGCCTTGCTGTATCGAACACGAGAGTCGATCCAATATTATTGGCTTGTTATGCATGCCTGAGAGAACGAGTCGCCACAGAAACTACGCGTCTCTTTGAACCAACGGTCGGCCAAGCTTGGCAATGTTTGGTCGGATTCTGCGACGCGACGGAGCACGTGACCGTAAATTGTCTTCGATCCCTTTTGCATTCACCCCCCGGCGCCCGCATACCTTGCTCGAGCTGCTTCAATCCGTATCGCCTCCTAGAGGCCAACTATGCGTGAAGCACACCACACAGCCATGCCTGCACGATCGGGAAGGACAGAGTTGCTGCGTTGCACCGTCTGACGCAATTTTTGGCTTGGGAATTGGCGCTTGGAGGATAACATACCGACGTTTTTGGACCCTTCGGAGACCCACTGTGAGTTGCTGCAACCTAGTATGCATCTTCAAGCTCGTTAAAATTGGATTCCAAGCGCTCGGATATCTTTTGACCGACCGGGAGGTGGCAGACGAGATTTGTACGATTTCCGGAGAGAAACAAGCAGTGTTTGCACACTGAGCAAGCTTAGATCACCCAAACGACCTTACGGTGCACTTGGGGCGACCCAGAGGTACGCGAGGGCGACCAGATTCTGAGCACCTATCCCTGACGATCGTACTTATCCAGCGGTTTGCGGCGGCCGATAAGCTAGAGAGGACTGAGACAGACGCACCCGATATCGTGCGTCGTCATGGGTGTACTGGCTAGGTGCAACTGTCGAGAGGTCTTTGGGTGAGTATTGAGACGCCTTTAAAAATTAACCAAGTTAATTCAATGTCAGGCAGGATTTCTTTTAACTACCCAAGCAGTGACCGCGACTTGAAGCATAAGATAAAAGGGGCTGGATGCGCTTGTCGGGACTATGGTCGTTGAGCATGAGCCACTTACATTGGAAGTGTATTGTGTATCGGCCAAGGATCAGAGGTACGCAATGCCCCACGGGTTTTCCTCTGCAATGTCGGCACTCATGGAGACGTTACCAGTGTAAAATACCCAAAATGGCGGCTTAAGTTAGCTTTGAAATCAGCTTGCGAGCGCACTGGCCGAATCGAAGTCTTTATTCGTGTCGGATGCCCGCTGTGGGGAGTGGCCAAGGAGCGCCACGCTATAGATCATCTGGCCAAGATACAGGAGCGAGAGAGGCGGTGAAGGGAAAACAGCAAAGGCGCGTCAAAGCAACGCGTCGATTTAGGGGCGATCGGACTTTGCCTTTTTCGTTGATCGACTTGTTTCTTCGTACCACCATCTCGCCAGGCGCGCGCCCCCATCCCCCGCAATGCCTCCCTCCCTTCTCGCCATCCTCTCCTCGCTCATCCTCGTCTCCCCCGCCCTCGCTGCGTCCGCCGCAGACTGGTCCACCCGGTCGATCTACCAGGTTCGTCGCGTCGTCCCGCCCTTACGCGTCCGCTGACAAGGACTCGCCGAACGCAGCTTGTCACGGACCGCTTCGCGAAGCTCACCGACTCGTCCTCGCCGTGCGACTCGACGCTGCGCACGTACTGCGGCGGGTCCTGGGCGGGCATCGCGAGCCACCTCGACTACATCCAGGACATGGGCTTTGACGCCGTGTGGATCTCGCCCATCGTCGCGAACGTCGACAAGACCGCGTACGGCGATGGGTATCACGGGTGAGCCTTCCCTCCCTCTCCCTCCCTCCTACTTCATACAGCGTGTACGGCGGGGTGCTCACGAATGATTTCCTCGCCAGGTACTGGTCGCGCGACATCGACACGCTGAACCCGCACTTCGGCAGCGCGGCGGACCTGAAGGCGCTGAGCGACGCCGTGCACGTCCGCGGGATGTTCCTCATGCTCGACGTCGTCGTCAACCACTACGCGGGCCTCCCCACCAACACCACCCCCTCCTCCCCCAGCGGCCAATTCACCTTCGACTACGCCGCGCAGCCGCCCTTCACGGATGCGGCCGACTACCACGCGCAGTGCTTCATCACGGACTACGCGAACCAGACGGACGTGGAGCAGTGCTGGCTCGGCGACGCGCACCTGCCCCTCCCGGACCTCGACACGGAGGACCCCAGCGTGAGCGCGACACTGAATGCGTGGATTCGGGATACGGTGAAGGCGTATGATGTCGATGGCGTGCGGATTGATACGGTCAAGCATATCCGGCACGACTTTTGGGCGGGGTATACTGCGAGTGCGGGGGTCTTCACGCTGGGCGAGGTGCGTTTACGCTTGTCTTCTTCTTGGACGGGGCACGCGCTGACTGGTGTGCGATTGTGATAGGTGCTAACGAACAACGCGACGTACGCTGCCTCGTACCTCGGCGCGGTCGACGGCGTATTCGACTACCCCGCGTGGTACTGCCTCACCGCCGCCTTCGCCAGCCCCAACGGCGATCTCGCCGCGCTCGCCGCCTCCCCCTCTCTCGCGTCCCTCCCCTCCTCCTCCTCTTCCTCTGCTTCCTCCTCTTCCAGATCCTCTGGGACGAGTGCACCGGTAACAGCAGCGTTCCTAGAGAACCACGACCAGCCGCGCTTCCCGTCGTTCACGAGCGACGTGGCGCTGCAGCGGAACGCGATGGCGTGGGTGTTTGTGGGGGACGGGATTCCGGTGCTGTATTATGGGCAGGAGCAGGGGTATCAGGGCGGGGGGGATCCGTATAATCGGGAGGCGTGAGTCATTTTCCCGTTTCCCTTTGGCTTCGTCTTGCCTTCCTTTGTTGCCTCTATCTCCCTTTGCTACGCCCTGGCCTCTCTTCCCCACTCTCCTCTTGCGCGTTTCCTGCCTTTAGTCGTCCTACTATCCTCCTCCCTTCCCGCTTGCTTTCCGATATCGAAATCGATACTGACATCCTTTCGCACACAGACTCTGGCTGAGCGCATACGAAACGACCAAGCCGGGCGTCGCGCTCGTGACGGCGCTCAATACCGCGCGGCGGCAGGCGATGGCCGCGGATGGGGGGTTCTTGACGACGCCGGTGGGTTTCTTCTTCTTCGTCTCCGTCTCCCCTTCTATACGCCTTCGTCCCCCTCCGATTCCTTGCATCGAGCGCGGCGCCCGCCTTGTACTTCTTCACGTTACCTTCCTCTCCGTCTTTCCCTCCCTACCCCACCTGTTATCCCCTTCTCGTCATCAACGCCAACTCCATCCGCCCTTCCCCTCCCGCGACTTCTGCTGTCACTGATACGCCGCTGCATACACTTACCCGCCTCCTACCTCTCCCTCCGCCACTCCCGCTTACCTTCCCTCCTTTCCCATCTACCACCTACCTGATAACGCGTCTTCACCGTCCTCTCCGATTATACTCCTCGCCGATATTGCGTTTACCCCATCTCCTCCGCCCTCTTGCGCTTTACCTTCCCCTCTCCCTCCCCTCTCCCTCCCCTCTCCCCCTCCGCCACCCCTCTCGCTTACCTCCCTCCCTCCCTCCTTCACCCACTCCCCCGTGCTTACCTTCTCCCTTCCCCATCACCCCCGCATACCCTACCTGATGTCAACGCCCTTCCTCCTTCTGCTCCCACAATTCATCCTCTCACTCACGTTGCCACACCACCTTGCTACCTACACTTAACCTACCTCCCTCGCCCTTCCGCCCCCTCTCTCCTTCTTCTGCTCTCCACCCACCCTACCTGAGATCGCCCTTCCCCATCGTCCTCCCCGATACCTTCATACACGCACTTACCTGCGACCGCGCCTCTCCCTCCGTCCTCTCCGTCCTCTCCCTCATTACCCCCTTCCACCTCCGCACCTCCGCACCTTCCTCGCTCACCCTCCCTCCGCCCTTTCTCTCCTTTCTCTCCCTCTGTCCCTTCCTCCTCCTGCTCCTCCTCTCCGTCTTTCGCTTCGCGTATCCTTCTGTTTCCGTACCCCGTCCATGCCCCTGCCACAAATCATCTTGCTAGCTACGCCTAGCCCACGCCCTACCCCTTCTCTTGGTCCCTCTCTCCATTAACCTTCCTTCTTCTTCTCTGCACCGTACCTGATATCGCCCTTCTCCGTCGTCCTCCCCGATACCATTACCATCGTACATGCACTTACCTAGCGCGCCTCTCCCTCCGCCACCTCTTTCTTACCTTGCCACATACGCCTACCCCACACCCTGCCCATCCGCCTCTCTCTCAGCTTCCTTACCTTCTTCCACCTCATCCTCTCCGTCTTTCGCTTCATCTTTTACTAACGCCTTCCACAGGCAAAATACCTCCCCCAACCCGACCCGCACACCCTCGCGCTCTCCAAACCCCCGCTCCTCGCGCTCCTCACGAACGTCGGCCTCCCCGCAAACGACAGCGCCCCCGGCGCCTCCTGGCGCATCCCCGCGGGCGTCTACGCTTCTGGGACGGTGCTCGTGGACGTGCTTGCGTGCAGGGCGTTTACCGTCGCCGGGGACGGGGATACGACGGTGCAGGCGGAGGAGGGGATGCCGCGCGTGCTGCTGCCGGCCGGGGCGCTGACGCGGGCGGGCGGGGCGTGTCCGGCGCTGGCGAGTGGGGCCACGAGGGGAGGGGGCAGGGAGGGGCGGGTGTCGCTGAGGAGGAAGGTGGTGCTGGGGGTGGTGGGGACGGTGGTGTGGCTTGGGGGGCTGGTGTAGGCGCTTGTGGGCGCGGTGTATCTGAAATGGGGTGTATTTTGGGCTGTGTATGATTGCGAGCGGGTGTGGCAAGGACGAGAACGGACGACTTGGGATTGTATCTTAGCATTGTATGGATTGTATAGATTGTATAGATTGTACACTTCAGTATCATTAGACGTTTCTCTCGGCATTTTTCTTTGCATAGCAGCGTTTATATTATTATTACTGTGAAGTAAAAGTAGCAGAATAGCAGCGGTATAACATGTGCTCGTTTCCTTTCCCTTTCGTCCACTTTGGCCTACGGGGCATGGAGCCAAAGGTCGAGCAAATCCG